TATCAGGTGTGGTTTCTAATGTGTGTTTTGGCCCATCTCCTATAGCTTTCTACTTTCTTATTTTATTCTTCTGTGGTTAGCATTAAGCTGATCAGACTAATTAGTGATACACATTTTTTTACATATATATAATATATATCTTAATTTCTTTTAAGAAAGCAAGCATTAAGTCCTTTAATGGCAAATACATTCTAGTGTCAGGAATTACTTACGTGAAGTCCTGTGTTTCTGCAGTGAAAGCATATTTTTTCAAAACTTGGGATTGAAAAAAAACTGCTTACAAGATAGTTATCAGACTTAACATCATATTTCCACAGAATTTTGTCAGTTGTAGCTAGTCATATTTAAAGTAATAAATTAACTTAATACATTAGATGTGGTTTGGTTTATTTCCAGGGGGAGATGTTTATTCAATGTACTGTAAACAGAGTGGTATTAAAAGGGCAAAGGAAACACCACTGTAATATGTTTCAGAAATGTATATGCATCCATTTGACAAAAATAGGGGTTTTGTAAGGCATTAATTGGTTCTGTTAATGGGCAGACTTTTGAATTTATTATAGGGACAGCTTGGAATGCTGTACTGTTTTCCTTCATATGAAACACCTTTTGTTACATGTATCAGTGGCTTATTTAAATTCTTCCTCGTGAAGACAACCAGGACCAAATACCTCTTCTACCTAACATTTTAGAAATTTTGACTTTTCAAATACATCTTCTTGTCTTTCCTGTTTTTCTGGCATGGTTTGCTTTATGTCTTATGTTCGTAGATTAGCGACCTGGCAGGGTGGGGGAAAGAAGAGAGGTGTCAGGTAGATACCATCTTTGGAAGTCATCACATTGTTTCTTTTTTAGTGGGTGGGGCGGGAAATGGATTATATCAGAGGTTGCGTTTTGTGGCATGACCTAATTAATAATTTACAGGAGTGTCAGTGAACTGTACTGGATCACTAGTTAAACCAAGAAGTCTCTCCATGAGGTAGGACTTTTTGGTTTCTTACCATCTCTCTTGTGATTGATTGTACTCTTATTTTTTTTCTTGTTGTTCCTCTGCTAGTGTGTAGCATGGTGTCCTTAGCATTAAGGAGGAAGGAGGAGGGAAAGAAAAAGCATGTGGAAGAAAGGCATGTCAAATGGTGACTACAAAAGTGGAAATAGTGACATAGTCCCTAGCAATTGAGAGAACCATATCCCAGAGCTACAAAAGGGACAGAATAAATGGTAGCATGGTAGGGGTAGTTACCAGTCCTTAGACTTTTTTCAAAGCAAGCTAAAACCTTCTCATGATTCAAATTGCTAACTATATGGATAGTATTCTAACATGGGGGTTATGCTGACAAGTGAGGACCCTTGTTTGAAGACACAGGTCCTGGGTAAACCGAAGAAGTATTTTTACCACTTTTATTTGAGGCTTCTTAACTGACTTGTGTAGTAGGAATTTTCCAATATTACTTTTTTTTGGGTATTGCTTTACATTGGCATGAAGGAATCTGTGGCTGTTTGCTTACAATCCAACTCTGCTGTATTTTTCTGCATTTTTGATATCTGCTTTTAAGAGCTTTGACAGATCAATCTTTAGCAGAGTCAAAAGTCAAACTGATAAGGGAAGAAAATGACTAATTTTAGTTTATGAGATCGAGGTGGTGATCAGATTTCCGTGTGAATCTACAAAGTTTACAACATTTTGTTAAGATGGGACAAATATATCCCATTAGCTAATAACTCTTTATGTAGGGTCTGTAAATGTATCTAAACCAACTACATTGAGAAAGCTAAGAATTACTCTAAATCAGGTCATAATTTAAATGCCATTTAAAAATGTAATTCTAAAAGAAAACCAACCACTCTAATATTTGCTAAGTGCCCCAAAAGGACATCTTGTTACAAAGAATACATCCTCAGCTAACTGTTTTCTCTGCTGGAAACATTTGTGCATAGGTTCATAAACCAACAAAAATGGTTTAACATTTCAGCTTTGTTGCTATTTCTTCCTTTGTTTGCTTTTTTTTATTTTCACAAATTTATCTGAGAGTAGGATTCGTTGTTGTTCAGAATTTAATCTATGCCATTTTATTCGTTCTTTCCTTACCATAGAATCTTCTGTTCATAGTTTGTCCTAAACAAATAATTGATTGCAAGTGAGGGGAAAAAAAACAGCAGAAACAGATGACGCTTCAAGTGGTACAGGTTCTTGAGTTCATTCAAATGCTTCAACATATATTACCAAAAAAAGTGAGGGGAGAAAAGACAGAAATATGGTAGATTTAACTAAGCTTCAAAGTTTTCATGAGGAGGTATAAAGTCTTTGAAAGCAGGAAGTTTTTTTCAGTCTACATGATAACCTTCTAAGATGCATAGTAAACACAAAATCGTTTAACTGCTTGTATAATCTGTTAAATTTTAGAGTACAACTTTGCTGGCCATCTTTCTTCTCTTTTAGCTGTTTCCTATTTTAGATATCTCCAGGCAGTTTCCTGATTCATACATGAGTGGTGCTTCCTTTCTCAATATTCCTCTTTTGCATGTTTCTCAGCAAGAGAAACTAATTTGACTGTTGAAAACAGCAAACTCGCATAAAAGAAAATCCCTCCTGCTATTCTGAAAATGCAAGCTCAAAAGAATTTTCTTCCACTCAGTGTTTCACATGATCTGTGGGGTTTATGATAATGTGCTAGCTCTCCTGTCTCCCTTTGTTTAGGCTTTTAAAAACCCGTCTTTGGCCAGGATTATTAGAAGAAGGGAATGTCATTTGTTGTTATGCCAGACATGGATTTACTGGGAAAGCTTTGGCTCTGTGCTACGCACAGCAAGTGGGGATAGCACTGACACATTGCATCATGTGATTGCAGCTGTATAGCCTCCATTTGAGACTGGGAGCTCTGTACGTGAGCAAGTCTACTAAAGTTCGTGCAGACAGAGCTGAGCTTAACTCTGTCAACTGCCAGAGTGAGTCAGTCTGAACTAGCCAGTTATTCTGACCTGTTGCCATTCATGTGATGTTGCTCCCAAGCTAAGACATCCTGGGTCTGCATCTTCCCATGGATGTGCCCTGTGAATGAAGTATCCTCGTGTTCTGCAATACCAAATCCATCTTTTAAGATCTTGTCCCTACATAAAAATTGTATTACACCAATACATTTATTGCTCTCCACAGTTCTCTAACCTGGATGTATTAATATCAGGGTAAATTTTTACTATCTAGACAAGGATAAGTTGTGAATAGTATATAAATTTATGCACTCTGGAGTTTGTAGCATTGTTATTATGTTAGTAAAAACTTACAAAAATATCCATACCTATATAGACACTGTCTTGGGCAAAAAGATAAATTAAAGAAAGGCATAAGCCAATGTTTTACAGCCTACCAAAGAAACTTCTCTTGGAGAAAAAACTATCCCATAATAATGTATTACAAGATTTCAACCTTCTATTAACTTGGAAGCAACTTATGGACATTGTCACACAGTTTAGGTGGTTTAACTAACTGAACGTCTGGCTTTATCTAGTTTGCAGTTATTGCCATTCACCATTTTTACTTATGTAATGAAATACCGAGACAACAGAACGGCTTACTTTACAGGCATAGCCTTTATCATACAAGTAAACAGTTGTGGGCAGGCAGAAGCAAGTTTGCTCCTCCCATGCTTCTAGCCGGAAGAATATGATTCAGGTCAAAGTTATAAGTCCTTTAGAAGTGTTGTCAGGGGACACTTCTCAATCTGGTAAGTCTAGGCACTAATTTATACTGCTAAGCAGAAGCTGAGCTGATACCACCCACCAGTTCACAACTAGCTATAGTTTAACTGCAAGGACGTCTCCAAAGAATAGCTGTATGCTTACAGAACCAGGTCAGTGCATAGAGTAAGTTTTACCGTTTTAAGCTTTTTTCTCCACAGCCCAGCAGTAAAAGAAATTATCAGTTAATTTTAACTGTGGGTGGCATCAGGGATCGTGCAGACACAACCTGTCATGGTTTCACAACCAGCTTTCGCCCAGTCAGGAAATTACTGTCAGTAAAGCTGGAGTGCGGTATTGCTTATATCGTTCTTTGTTCTGCTTGATGTCTGGATTATAAGAAAATATTTGTTGAGCTAAAGCTCTGTTATACATGGAAGGAATACTTCAAAGTTATTCTGTATTGACATTGGGCACTGTGCTATATTGCAGGGTCTTAGTTATGTTTTGTTTAGAATTACTAAAAACATTTTGATCTTCACCTACCTCTTTTTCCCACAATTCTTTATTCAATTCATCCACTTAACATTTTTTATTCTTCTCTTGTCATGCTCTCAGGTAGTCCCTAATTCTTTTAAGGACCTCCCCCCTCATGTGACAAAGCCCTGTTTTCAGTCCTTCAGCTCCTGTTTCTGCCACATTTGATACAAACCCTTTCTTTGGATCTTTAAAAAGTTTCTAGGCTAGAACTTCAAACACTCGCTGACTAGGTCTGAGTTTTGTAGTGAGAATATAGCAGAGAACTACTACCGCATTGTGTTTGGGTTTTGTTTTTTCTTATTTTCTTCTATGGTGCAATTTAATTACAGCTTGATTATCTTGTTTCCACCTCGAAGGAAACAATATAGACAGTCAAGCCAAGAACAAGGTTTATTAGACTAAGCCTCTTCTTTTATCTTAGAGCTGTTTGTAGAAAAGTATTTTTCCAACTAGAAGCTATAGAAATTTATTTATGTATGATGTATTGATTGCACCTCCTTCTGTAGTTGCTGTTGAGCAATTTGCTATACTTACCTCTCCTCCCTCCAGCAGCACTCTATATTTAACTCACATGCCTAGGTCTTGTTTCTACGACTTCTGCACTGGCTGTAGCATGCCACATCTGAGCTGAAAAAAGAACTAAATCCCTTGGGCCAAATTCATTTCTGAAGTTGCTTGATTGAACACAGCGCATTTACACTGAGCACAGATTTGGCTCATACCTGACTTTGTCAGCATTCACTGTGCTGTAACTAAGTAACAAGAACACTGTCATTAGGGGACAGATGAACAGCTTTCTCTAAGGTTATTAGAGCACTGAGCACCTTTAAGGAGTGCAGAAATCTGTGAAAGGAGGAGTTGGAGAAAAGGACACCGCTCCTTTTAGAGTCTGTGTAACAGAACTGATAAGCTATTCCTGTGATGTGATCGAATGTGACTGAATACTGCAGGCTCTTGGACTCTTATTCTATAAAATCCACATCAGAGCAGCACAGGAAAAGATCGGAGGGAACAGCTTCTGCTGTACTGAGAAAGGTACATATTTATATTTTCTTATTTCTCAGACTTGACATGATTTGTTAGCTTAGATAATGTCACTATTTTAAACAGTGGTGAAAATGAAAGAAGCAGTGTTTTCCACATTCTGACTGGCACTCATTGTCAGGAAGTCAGTCCGTGGGCAGCAACAGCTTTCACAGAGAAAGAGTAGGACATATTTGTGTGTAATGCCTTTGTACTGTATTGTAAACCTTGACAGTTGAAAGAAGTGAGATGAGAGAACCCCGACTAAATTGGAAACGTAATTTATGGCTATAAGTATGCTGGAATTTGGTACTTATTTGTATTCAAGAAAAAGCTGAATGCAAGGCAAGCTTCAGTCATATTTGAATAGCTGCTTTTATAAATGTGTTGCTGCAGCTGTATTTTATGGGGGTTTTCATTCTCACAAGGAAGTTCTGCTATAGCAAAATGTCTGTGAAGAACAGACAAAAAGCTAGTACTTTTGCTTGCTAGCCCTGTTGCTGCTTATAGGGTATCTATCTTTCTGATGCCCTTTATGACGTTCTTTACCTTCTGTCCTTTAAAAACAAACTCATGTTTACCAATACTGTCAACCACATGTCATACTGGTGATCTCCATCAACAACCTTTACTTCATCTCTGCACTTAAGCTTACTTTTTTCTGCTTACTCAGCCATGGACTCCTCTAACAAAGCCCTCAGGTTCAGAATCTCATGCATTTGCACAGCACTGCAGTATTTAAATGCAAAAGAAAAATCCCTGATTTACAGCTTTAGTTTGCATCAGTGGAAAAAGAGTTTAACCATGTTAACAGTGCAAACAATTTACTTGTCACTTAAGTTTAGCAATATTCCTTAACAGCCTGCAATTCGTATCAGGTTTATCTCTGCCAGTCCCACACTGTTGTCTTTCAGCATTCTTTCAGGATCACTGGAAATAGAACTGACGGGGAATTTTATGAAAAAACATAATTTTGGCAGCAGTTGTTGAAACCTGATCTTAATGTGCAAGGCCATCCATACCAGTTTTGCTAAAACTCTCTCAGGAGAGATTTCTCAGAAAGCAATTTCTAGCTAGAGCACTCTATGCCCACTCCAGCTACTTTTCTGGGGAGGGCATTCACTTAGGATTTAAAACCAAGGTCTCATGCCCTGCTTGGCCTCAGTTAGGCTGCCTCTTCCCATGCAGTGCTTTGGTTACCTGCTGTGCTGTGGTGGATCCCACCTTGCCTGGCCTGTTAGAGCTGTTAATTTCCATAGAAATAAGCCATCATTTCAGCAGCAATTTCCTTCCTACTCTTTCAGATCCCTCAGTGGGTGTCCTCACTACCAAGTTTCAGTTGTGCACTTGCCCGGCCTGAAGAGCAGCTTGTGGAAAGCAGAAAGCTGTGCTGGGAGAGAGACAGATTTACACTAGATTAGCTGGTAGCCTTGGAAGCAGGGCAGGAGCACACAGCAGGGATTTGGGACACTGAGGATTCAGCCCTTGATCTTTGTGATATAAAGAGAGAATGTGAAATAGGTCTGTCACAGGTGATTATGCTGAGGACAACTAGCCATTTTGGTCTTTCCTCTTCCAGCCCTTTCTCCCTACCTCCATTTGGGGCAAAATTACTCTATAGGAGCTTGTTTTACTGCCGCGGGGAACATGAAAATCTCAGCTGAGAAAACTTTACAGACCAGCTCCTAGTGTGCTGACAAGGGAAGAGCACTTTCTACTTTTAGCAGTCCACTGTCTCCCAGGTGGGATTTGTACAATTCAGCTGAGCTACACCAACCACTGGCCTCAAACACTAGTATAAATAGTACTAACGCGTCTAGAGTTCTGGAATGGGAATAAGGAGTATGAGAAACAAATGCTTCCTAGGGGTACCTGAAAGGATCTTATTCCTGAAAAGCTGTCTTTGCTCAAGGCCTGGTAAAGTGCATTTCTTATCCTTGAAGAATTATCTCACCCCAAACTCTGGCTTTAATCTGGCGTGTTCACTAGGCCCATCTGGATCGGAACGCTAATGGAGATGAGGCCTGTCTGTGTGGCCAGTTTATTCTAAACCCCGCTCATCTTTATGGGGCACATAGCCGTTATATAAACCTTTTCCTTTGGGTGATAGCACCGAATACCACTTAGACAATGGCTACTGTGAAGGGAGTTTTAAGTGGGTACAATTATCCTAATTGAAATCTATATGGGGAGAATGGATTTAAACACCCTTATGAAGCTTAGTTGATGGGGCTCCCTAGTATGCAAAGGCACTTTTCTGTTCTTTTCCTTTTGTTCAGTAAGAATAAACCTGTATTTGTTTCCTTTCAACCTGAGAAGAGGGAAAAAGAAAAGACAAAAGGCCTGGGGGGGGGGAAAGTCATCAGAATTTTGCATGTATAGAAGTCTGAATTTTTGTAGTCATGGTAGTGAAGCTAAAGTGTAGTAATTTGAAAAAAACTAGGAAGAGGGAAATTTAGATTTCGTGCAAGAAATACTTAGTGAAAAATTATATAAAGTCTGTTCAGATTGTTTTCATTATGTCAGTGGAAAATCTGAATGTCAAACTCCCAGATTAAGATTCCATTGAAATACAAGCTATTCACATTTGGCGATATGCTGATTATTCTTCACAGTGTTGCACTCATTTGAAAATACATAAACAATAACAAATGAATAAGAGGTAAAAAGATTTTTTTTAATCTTTAAAAGTACTAAAATATGAAGCTGTTGAATTGTGTTGCCTACAGCAACAGGATACGATATGTTTGGCAGAAGTTAGTTTAGACTTTCTGACCAAAATACTCTGCCTTTTTGCTCTGGGAAAAGATCAAGACAAGCAAAATGCCACAAAACAGAGATTGCCTCATTCAAGACAGCATAGGACAAATCGTCAGGAGCTCCAGTCCCAGTCATGGCACAGCACAGATCTCCTCTGGCCTAATGCAGAGCAACAGACGTTGTTAAAATATGTGTAGAAATGTGCTGACTCTTCTGCATTGTTGTCGCAACGCTTCTTAAACAGCTAATATATCCTTAATATGCAAATCCTCTGCATATGTTAGTGCAGGAGATAGTTAAAGGCATAATTTCAGCAGAAGCTTTTGAAGAGTTTGAACTTAAACCTTTTTAACCCTTTTCTAAAAATAGGGGGTACACTTACTTCCTTCACCCACGTACGTGTATGGGAGGGTTTAATCTGTTAATTTGTATGGCCTCTGTAAAAAACCTCTAGAAAATTGTTTGGATTATAACATTCTTCTCTCTGCAAACTTAGCAGCGTCTTTGCAATGAGTTAGGCCCCGTTGTCCCCAGGCACTCTACTATTGTAGACAATTTCTATTATCCTCAATACCATCAGACCGATGGAGAGATTCTTTTGTGAAAAAAGGTTGAATGGTATAAATTTACCAAGCACTCCCCATTCACCAGGTTATGTGAGCTAATAAAGTCTAAATTAGATTCTAAACCCTTTAGCATCAGAATGCTAAAGTACTGTCTGGATGCTTGGAGACTTGTAATAAACTCTTAAACAATCAACTAGTACTTGGCAGTTAGATTAAATGCATGAAAAATTATAGCACAATTGGATGTAACATCATCTTTCCTCAAAGGCCTGATTTGTCAGCAGGCTGAAATCACTTAAGGAAAGTGTTTGAAGCACTGTTTGTCTCCGCATTTTCCCTGTTGTTCAGAAACTCAAGAATAATAATGTCACATAGGCGTTTGCTGTCTTGGTATCCCAAAATTGATCTCTTTAGTTAATGCAGATAAAATCACTTGCCTTTCCTCAGGTGTTGACCATATATCCATAGCAGGGACTTTTCTGACAAAGATTAATTCAGCTTTACATCACCTTGGAAGTTACAGAAGTAGCAGTAACTTTAACTTATTCTTGTGGCAACAAAGATGTAGGTAAGACAGCTCACTCAAGATCAGATCAGAAAAATATTGCCAAAACGAGATTCAAACCCAAGTCCCCTGACTCAGGATCACAAAGTTTACTCTCATTCCAGTCCTGGAGAATAGCAGTCTAATGTACATGCTGTCTTTGTAGAAGAGATTTTTTGTGATTATGTTTAGGACTTCATTTTCAATAAAAAGCAAAGCAATATCTGTTTATCCAAGCTAAAATTGTAATGAGATGTTCTGTAATGAGGCTTATAAGGACTCACCTTTATTAGAAAAATGTTCTATCCAACAGTTGTCAACCTCCCAAGTATTTTAATACCTGTCAGCTTTTATTTTTGCATCTGTAGGAAATGAGGTCTTGTTAATTACTAAGCTTTAGAACAGTTAAATAATCAAATTTGATACTTTTTTAACCCACTAAGTATGAAACTCACTAAGGCATATGTCCTTATTAAAACTCAGAGCATTTAAAGGTGCTGACTTTCAACGTGTTTATTTTTCTTCTCAGTAAATATCAGTTTTTAGCAGAGGGAGATTGTTTTCTAATCTAAGAGAGAAACAGCAGCAATCAGGATTTTAGATCAAATCTCCGTACACCTTCCTTTGACAGTGTTATGAAAACTTCATACAGTTTTTATGAAACACGGAGAAAAATCTCAATTTGAATTCATCCGGTTACTTGGAGTTACCTTAAAAATTCATCTTACCAATTGTTCTAATCCTTATTTTTTCACTTCAGGGAATTCTAAGACCAATTATTTTTTAACAGTTCTTGGAAAAATTTACCAGAAGGACTGATAAATAGCGTTACTGAAAGATCATTATTGTAACCTTTGGTGAAATGGCTGGGGTCATCTGTACAAGAATAAAGAACAGGATGTATTGTTTTGTGCTCCATCACATAGGCATTTTTATGTTTTCAGAAAAATTGGAGATCATGTAATAGTAAGGGGGTAGTGAATCCCCTAACTTAACAACTACTGCCGTAATAATAGATCCCTAAGTCTGAGCCAGTCTCTTGAGGCTTCTGTTATAACCATTGGAATGACTTAGGTATTTTATCTTCAAGGGCAGGTGAGTTGGGGCAGCAGATTCCCACAATTTGAGTTGCTTCTCTCTTT